GGACAGGAAGGCAGAAGGACTGACTGCCAGCCGCCGCCATGACCAGCAGCATGTGAAGATGCCGGTAAGCCACCAGCCATGTGGCAAGGTATAGAGTTATGGAAATGGACTAATTTAAGCTATAAGCACAGTTAGCAAGAAGCCTGCCACGGCCATACAGTTTGTAAGCCATATAAGTCTCTGTGTTTACTTGGTTGGGTCTGAGCGTCTGTGGGACTGGCGGGTGACAGAGATTTGTCCTGACTGTGGGCAAGACAGGAAAACTCTAGCTACACATGTTGGTTTTTATGCCAGTACCAAGTTATTTTTGTTACTGTAGCTCTCTAGTAGAGCTTGAGATCAGGGATGGTTATGCCTCCAGAGTTGACTTTATTATACAGAATTGTTTTAGCTTTCCTGGGTTTTTTGTTTTTTCATGTGAAGTTGAGTATTGCTCTTCCCAGATCTGTGAATAATTGTGCTGGGATTTTGGTGGGAATTGCATTGAATCTGTAGAATGCTTTTGGTAAGATTGCCATTTTTACTAAGTTAATCCTACCTATCCATGAACATGGGAGATTTTTCCATTTCCTGTTATCTTCTTCGATGTCTTTCTTCAGAGACTTAAACTTCTTTGCCATACAGGTCTGCTGTGGATGATTGATTGATAAATAAAGCACTGATTGGCCAGTGGCCAGGCAGGAAGTATAGGTGGAACAAAGAGAGGAGTTTGGGAAGTGGAAGGTGGAAAAGAGGAAACACCAGCCTGCCATCCAGGCAGCAGCATGTAAAGGCAGCAGATAAAGCTACAGAACATGTGGCGACATATAGATTAACAAAAATGGACTGAGTTTAAGTGTAAGAGCTAGACAGTGGTAGGCCTGAGATAATGGCCAAGCAGTTTAATTAATATGAGCTTTATAAGCAGTTGTAGGGTCCGTAGTGCTGGGCAGGACTGCAGAAAACTCCAGCTACACAGGTTTTTCACTTGCTTAGTTAGAGTTACCCCAAGGTATTTTATATTATTTGTGGCTATTGTAAAGGATAATGTCTTTCTGTTTTCTTTCTCAGCTCATTTATCATTTGAATATAGGAGGGCTATTGATTTTTTTGAGTTAATCTTGTATCCTACCACATTACTGAAGGTGTTTATCAGCTGTAGGAGTTCCCTGGTAGAATTTTGGGGGTCACTTATCATCAGCAAATAGTGAAAATTTGACTTCTTCCTTTCCAATTTATATCCCTTTGATCTCCTTTTGTTGTCTTATTGCTCTAGCTAGAATCAAGTACTATATTGAATAAATATGGGAAAGTGGACAGCCTTGTCTTGTTCCTGAATTTAGTGGAATCCCTTTGAGTTTCTCTCCATTTAAATTGATGTTGGCTCTTGGCTTGCTGTAAATTACCTTAATTATGTTGAGGCATGTTCCTTATATTTCCAATCTCTCCAAGACCTTTATCATGAAGGGGTGTTGGAATTTGTCAAAGAATTTTTTCAGCATTTAATGAGATGATTATGTGTTTTTTTTTTCTTTCATAGTATTTATATGGTGTATTACATTGACAGATTTTTCATATGTTGAACCATCCTTACATCTCTGGCATGAAGCCTACTTGATCATGGTGGATAATTTTTTGATGTGTTCTTGGATTTGCTTGCCAATATTTTATTGAGTATCTTTGCATCAATGTTCATGAGGGAGATTGGTTTGTAATTCTCTTTCTTACTTCCATATATTTGTGTGGTTTGGGTATCAGAGTAACTGTAGCCTCATAAAAGAAGTTTGATAAGGTTCTTTCTGTTTCTATCTTGTGGAACATTTTGAAGAGGGTTGATATTAGCACTTCTTTGAAAATCTGGTAGAATTCTGCACTGAAACTATCTGGTCTTTGGCTTTTTTTTGGTTGGGAAACTTTTAATGACTGTTTCTATTTTCTTAGGTATTATTGGTCTATTAAATTGTTTATCTGGTCTTGATTTAA